CTAAGTGAATAGGGTGAAATAGTGAATTACTTAGTTTAGGGCTTCTTTATTTCCTACGTAATAGGTACTCATGATTTTTTTTAACGATTTTACTTTATTTTTGCAACTATTTATTTAAAGTGAATTTATTTTGGTGACTCGACACAAACTTGACCTGAATATATCCGACCCGAATTGACTCGATTCGAATTTGACCCGACCCAAAATTGACCCAAAAATTGATCTTAAAAATTGACCTGACCCGAACAGACCCTATCCGAATTGACACGACCCGAACTTGACTTGACCCGACCCGAACTTGACCCGAAGTGTTTACCCGATTTTGACCCGAAACCCGAATCAACCCGACCTGAATTGACCCGACCCGAACCCGACCTGAATGACCTGTTTGCCAGGTCGATGTAATGGATTAAATCCATAAAGGAAGTAGCATAGAGATGAAATTGCGAGCGAATGAAGTGAGCGTTGGATCTCATTAACAGGATGAAGGTAACGGTCAACTTCATGGCAGTCACCGGAGAAAATCATCTTCTCCGCCGTCTCAACCACCTTCTCTTTGCTAGAGTCGCCATCTTCAGCTTTTAGTAGTGAGGGGAGGAGAGAGAAAATGAATGAGAAGAGTGACAGTGTAATGGTGGTGATATGTTGGTTTTTTGTTTGAAGTTGTAAAATTTGGGGGTTTAGAAATGAAATTAAATTGGTGTGTTGAATTCAATGAAGGAAATGATGATAGGTTGAGTGAAATATATCAGCGAGATGATTAAATTGAGAGAAAAAAAAAAAGAGGGAAGTTAGTTAGGTGGGGCCCACAGACGGAAAATCCACCGATTTTTTTAAATGGGTGGTGATCTGAGCATTTATTTAATTTAAGGGGTGGTAATTTAAAATAAAAAATTAAACGGGTGGTTAGTTCGAAAATGATTACGTTTTTAAGTGGTAATTTAAAAAATTTCCAAAAATAAATCAAGACCAACCAATAAAAAATTACTTTGACATCATTAAAAAATAAATGTATAAAATAATTGAAGGTCATTATCTAAACCAACTTTCTTAAAGCCTAAATAGCTGTCATCCTAAAACACATACTTGCCAACTTGATCCTCTATGTTAATTTTATTTACAATTTTGTTTCGATTTGTTTTAAGTTTTTTTTCTACATTATTTTAGGGGAATAATATATTGGATTTAGTGTAGGAGTTATAGGTTCGTAGATATCTTGAAAAGGGGAATAAAAATCACAAAGATTTTAATTCATAGGACATGTTTCAATGTTTGGTTCACAGTTGAAAGGTCTTTGTACAAATCTATATTTAGTTTTTTGTTGAAAAGATTACTCTTTTCAATCAACTCGATCATCTCAATATGTCATAAATCCAGCTCGTTTCCATCGTACTTGCAGCTCCCATGCGTAATTTTGCCCATACATTAAGTCACTTTATGTCTTAGTAATCATTAATCTTAGTGTGTTTACAAAAATTAATTTGAAAGATTAGATTGTTTAAGATGGAAGTTGTACTAGTTAGACTTAGCTTAGGGCGGCCTGTTCTGATTGACTGAATTGAGCTGAAATGAACTGAAGTCAACTGCACTTAATTATTGTAACTGAACTGAATATTTTATGAGAGAAGGAAATTAAGAACTGAACTAAACTGAATTTATTGGAATTGACCTGAACCGAATTGAAAATAATCTGGAGAGAACATGCCCTTAGTTTCAACTTTATTTTGTAACTCTACATATATTCTCCACACATAGTTAACATTGTGTAGGTATACCTCTATTAAGTCCTATTGGCCAATTAATAATCAATCAAAGCTTTAATCCCATGAGTCGAATACATGAACTAAAAGTGATAAGTCCGTAAATTAAGTCCTATTGACCAATTAATCAATCAAAGCTTTAATCCCATGAGTCGAGTAAATGAATTAAAAATGATTATTACGTATATTAAAGCCATCCACAAAAAGATTCCTCCTACATCCCTTACAATCCTATAACTTATTCTCATGTAAATTAAAGTCATCCACAAAAAAGCTTCTTCCTACATCCCTTACGATCAAATAACGCATTCTCATGCTAATCTATATGCTTCAATTCATATCCTTCCTAACTCATTCCAACCAAGTCATTTTCGGTCTCCCTCTATCTCTTTTAACCTCCCCATGTTCCTACTCTTCCTCTCTTTGTATCGGTGTACCCTAGGTTCTTTGTCTTACATGGTCGAACCAACACAATCGATTTTCTCTTAGTTTGTCTGCAATGCCTATAACACCCACTTTCTTGTGAATAACTTCATTTCCATTTCTATCTCTTAGAGTGTTATCGAACATCCATCTTAACATGTGCATTTATGTAACCTCCATCTTTTTAATGTGCTATTTTTTAGAAGCAAAATATTTTGTACCGTAAATCAACATTGTTCTTATGACTGTCCTATAGAATTTCCTTTTCAACTGTAAAAGAATGCTCCGTTCCCATAACACTCCTGTGACCACTCTTAATTTAAACCACCTCGACTTAATCCTATGGTTCATGTCTTGATCAAGATATTTAAAACACTCGCTCATGGACATATCCTTTTCGTCCAAACTGACTACATCATCGCTTGTTTTCCTCTATGTACTAAAACAACATACCAAACATTCAGTCTTACTCCGACTTAGTCTAAACTCTCTAGATTTGTTAGAGTTCATTTTATTTGGTGAAGTGATCAACGCTAAAAATTGATGTAAAAGCATTCAAATATATTCCATATAGGAAAATCCAATCCAAATCTAATTATTAATTTGGATTTGAATGAATTTTAATCAATTTTTTAAAAAAAAAAATGCATTTTCAGTTTAATTAGATCAATTTGAATAAAAAAAAAATCAAAAGAGAAAGTATTGCATCAGTTCGGATTGATGAAATGCGAATTTTGATATCCTCAATTAGCAGGATGATATCCTCTATTGGGTAGATGATATCCTCTATTGGCTCCATGATATTCTCTACTGGCTGGATGATATCCTCTATTAGCTATATGATATATCATGGCTAGATGATATTATATACTCCTTTCGTCCCCGAAAGAACGACCCTTTTGGGTTGATTTCGCGAGTATATTGAAAAGATAAATTTACATGGGGTTTGTAAAAAAAGTAGAGAGAGAAAGTAATAAAATTACATAGAAAATCGAATTTTTATATGGGGAAGCTAATTTTGGACAAATATTGTTGCAAATTGGTGAGTGTTTTAATGCAAATGGGTCATTCTTTTTGGAACTAAAATTAGGCCAAATGGGTTTTTCTTTTGGGGACAGAGGTAGTAGCATATTGAGGGTATCATCTAGCTATGATATCAAATAGCCAAGAGAGGATATCATCTAGCCCATAAAGGAGATCATAGACATAATCATAAATGATATCATACAACCAATAAAGGATATATCCCACCAAGATATTATATAACCAATAGAGGATATCAACCAGCAATTAGAAAACATCATCTAACCAATAGAAAATATCATCCAGCCAATAAAAGATATTGTAGACACAATCATAAATGATATCATATAATCAATAGACGATATCATCTGGCCATAATATCATATATATGTATAAATGATTAGAGGATATAAATGATTGAGGATACGTATAACTTGTTTGAGCATATGTATAATTTGTTTGATGATATGTATAATAGTGGCGGAACCTCCATTGAAGAGCTCGTAATAAAGGTCATGGGTATAACATAACTTGATCATTTCTCAACCAAAATACATGCATTTGTCATCAACATGCTCACAATTCAACAAACAATTTCAACAATTATGCATCACATAAGAAAGCCTCAATTCAATTTTTTTGGCATTTTTCAAAAAAATCCGAAAATTAAACTTTCTCTCTCTTCCGCCATGAATGACCTCGCTTCTCTCCTTCGCCATTGATGTCGTCATCGTCTAAAGCAGAATAAGGAGATCCACTATTGTTGTCATCATCGTCATCGTCGTGTTTATCGTCATCGTCATTTCCTGCGCTGCATGAGCTATTGGTCAGGCTTGACTGGCCCAATAATTTGTGAAATCAAAATTTCTTCTCATTATTTATCCGTGTTGGGTAGTATGTTGATGCTATGTTTTAGAATTTTTTTTTTTTGAGAGTTCCATGACTTAATACTTCTAGGATTATGGGTTAATGCTTGCTCTTATAATAAAAGTAAAGATATTACCTACTTATAAATCATGCATATTGTACTATTGAATTAGATTTAGTGGATTATCAAATTGGATGGAACTCAAAAACAAAAATCCTATTATAATTCAGATTGGATTGGAATTGAGCCAAATCCAGACCGAAATTGAACCTTCGATTATATTTCACCCTTAGCTAAAATCATGCAAGAAGTAAAACATCTTTCAAATGTAGTAATGCAACCTAGTTGAATATTCTTCCACAAAGGAAACTACCTAGATCTAGAAAAACTTTATATTTAGCCTAAAAAAAAATAAGAATTACCAAGTATCTTCACCAACTAATCCAAACAAACTGATCAATTAAGCACCCATTTTCTCATATCCTTCAAAAAATAGTGGAATACAGTGCATATTTTTCACTTTACATTACTTTTTTAGCTAGTTTACCACCACCCACCCACATAATAATAAGTTTTAATTTTATTAGTACATTCACTACCTCTTATATTGTCAGTAAAGAAACCATGTAAATAAGCAGTAAATAGCAAAAAGAAATTTGCAATTTGTCCTTAAAAAAAATTAAAATTAAATTGTCGGTTTAATTTAAATTAAAAAGTCGATCATCTAAGTTAATATTCTCTTTAATTTGTTTACTATTTTATGTGATAGATAGTGGTAGTTTTCTTGTCTTTTAGCTTATTCAATCTTATAAATAAAAAATAAGAGATGTTTTTACTTAGATGAAATGAAATTCTGTCAGTATTTGTGCATGGAAATAACTTTTGTTATCAGCCACATTTGCAGCTCACTAGAATTTGTTGTTTTAAGACAATGCATATATTTGTCCTTAATTAAAATAAAATTAAAAAAAAAATTAACATATGCATGGAAAAACTATTTCTATTACTTTTTATCTTAGTATAAATTCACTCTTACTTCAAGAATCTTATCACATCATTTCCTTTTCTATATTTCATTCTTGTGTTTGTTACTTTGTTTTGAGTTTATTCTGTTATATATTGATCTATAGAAATGGAAATGGAGATGGTACACGGGGCGAAAAGCCGGATTTTCACTAGGGGGTTGAATGGCCTTAGAAACTTAGCTGTGAAGTTAAAAGAGAAATGTGTTGGAATAGCTAAAAATATAAAGAAGTTAGCCAAGGATGATCCAAGAAGAGTTATCCATTCTTTAAAAATGGCGCTAGCTCTTACGCTAGTTAGCTTGTTCTACTTTGTTAGACCTCTTTATGAAGGGTTTGGTGTCTCAGGGATGTGGGCTGTGTTAACTGTTGTGGTCGTGTTCGAGTTCAGTGTAGGTAAGATCACCCTTACTTGCCATTTCTTGAAAGTTAAACCCGAATTTCACAAACAATAAATTGATGATTATTTTTCATGTATATAATAAAATGCATGATTTATTATTATTAATTAACTACTTATTTGTTTTACTTCGTTTTTAGGCGCTACTATAAGCAAAGGTCTCAATAGAGGTTTAGCAACCTTAACCGCCGGTGCACTAGGGGTTGGTGCTCAACACTTAGCCGTGTTATTCGGGACGAAAGGAGAGCCAATTGTCCTTGGTATCTTGGTGTTCTTACTAGGTAAACTACTTTCTTTTGCTTATCAATTTGTTTTTATGCATAAGTTACACTAGTGAAAAGTTCAAAAAAAAAAAAAAAAAAGTGTTTGATTGACTATTAGATTGGCTAACCCTTGTAAAAGATAATGAGAAAAATGTGTATTGAAACAACAAATTAAAGAAAGAATTTGACGTGTATGCCACTTCTGTTTAACGGGAAAACATATAATTTTTGGATCATGAAAATCTAACACGGCAAAAAGTTGTGCAACTTATACATGCAAAAATGACACTTACTTTAATTTGTACTTGCAGCTTCAATGTCGACATTCACAAGATTTGTGCCAAGCATCAAGAAACGATACGATTATGGCGTACTAATCTTCATATTGACGTTCAGTTTAGTTGCAGTCTCAGGGTATAGAGTTGATGTTATCTTAGTATTGGCGTACCAAAGATTATCGACCATCATAGTTGGTGGTGCCACTTGTATGATCGTTTCGATTTTTATTTGCCCTGTTTGGGCTGGTGAAGATCTTCACAACCTCATCGCCGGCAACCTTGAAAAGCTTGCCAAATTCATGGAAGGTATAAAGGCTATATTATTCAGTTATTTCCTCTCAATATGTGTAATATTCACTTATATTACTGAACTAGTACGATTTATTCTTAAACTATACTCCACTTAAAAGTAACACTTTTAGAGTCTAATGTTTATTGAAAGTATCCCAACAATATTTATCATCACATTTTTTAAGTTAAGACTTGTTATATATGATTAAATTTCATACACATGTTTATTTAGGAGGTTTAGATTATAGCTAGAATTTAAATGACTCATACACATAATTATTAAAAAGGTTGTTTCTTTTGCTAAATCATGTTTTATCTTTATTCGTGAGAGGTTATTGCCTTAATGCCGTTAATGGATATAATATTACTATATTATTTTATGCTATCACTACATTTTGAGAGTAATTACGGAGTATTTATTTTAATTTCAGGGTAAGTCTTATTTTGAATATAGAAAACGACATATTAAAAAGAAAGGATAGACTAGTAATTATTCATTTTGTTCTATAATTTTGTATATATGGCAATTAAGTTACTTAATATTTTTAAAACAATTATATTAACAGGATTTGGAGAAGATTATTTTACGATTCCTGACAACGACAAGATCAGTATGAACTCCAAGAAAGATGGCAAATCATACCTCCAAAGTCATAAAAGTATCCTTGCTTCTAAAACTAATGAAGAGAACTTGGTATGTGATGTTCCCATTATTCTTTTCATTTTTAATTTATGTACGTACATTAACTTTTTAGGCTGTTTCTAATTTATTACTTCTTTAATTAATAACCACTAATTTAATTTCTCTTGTAAGTGATTAAATATATAAATAATGGTACCAATATGATCATAAGATTGCCACTATCTTCTAATAAAAATGTACTAAAACATGTATTGTACTTTAATATTGAAATGAATTATAAAATTGTGATATTTTTTGCTTATTAGTAAGTTTAATTCTTTAATTAACAGGCAAATTTTGCTCGATGGGAGCCATGCCATGGTCAATTTAGGCTTCGCCATCCTTGGAAACAATACGTCAAAGTTGGAGCTCTTGCTCGACAATGTGCTTACCACATTGAAACTCTCTGTGGGTTTATCAATACCGAAGCCAAGGTAAATATATCTTGATATACCATCTTAATTAATTGGGGCACTACCAAATACTAGAGATCAATCTCGTCTGCATTATTGCCCTTTTGGCTCTTTATATAAGATATAATGTTTCATCAATTGACCACAAACATATAAGAATAATATGAAGACCAATGACAAATATGAAACATAATATGAGTATTCTTGCATCACCAAATAATTAAAATCTCCTTCTTTTCAACTAATTAATTAAAATATAATTGTTGGAATTAATCCAACCTTGCAAATGACATAGCATAATCCAATCATTTAATTTGATATACATTTTCTTGTTCAATAGTGATTAGTTACAAGATTGAGGCTAAAGGCTTAAAATTAATCATTTTGTATTCACCTTAATTGACCTTAAAAGCAATTTACATTTAACCTATAGGTACCAATGGAGTTCCGAAGAAAAATCAAGGATTCGTGCACGAAAATGAGCATCGAATTGAGCAAGGCATTAAGGGCAATGGCTTCATCCATTGAAAAAATGGCTCACCCTAAGCAAGTAGTCATGCATATAGAGAACTCCAAACAAGCTGCAAAAGAACTCGAAAATGTACTCAAAACAATGTTATATGGACCGGAAGATATAATAGCACTCGTACCGGATGCAACCGTTGCATCTATACTAGTTAACATAACCACTTGTGTGGAAAAAATATCAGAAGCTGTTCATGAACTTGCTAAGGTAGCACATTTCAAGGAAAAAGTCGAGGCCACGGTGTCACCGGAGCCGGCTAAACACACGGCAAAACTTCACCGTGGCATAGTGAACCCGATGTATGATGAAGGTGATCGCGGTGAGGTTGATTACGTGGAAGTAATTGTATGTGATCAAAAGCCTCAAAAGATTGAGAATTGTATAGAAGGGGAGATAAGGGTTGATAATAATATGTGCTCAAATAACGTAAATAATAGTATTGTTATTAGTCCTCCGTCTATAATTACATGCACGTGAAGCTCTTTTGTTTTTGTTAAGGCATCCATGCATGAGTTTTACTTAATTGATCGAGCTAACTCTTCAATTTTTATTAATTGGGATTATCTCTATTAAAGACTTTCAAGTTTTAATTTGATCTTGATCAATCACTTTTTTTATAGCCTATCATTATTATTGGACTTGAACAAAAGTTTAATTTGCACGTACGAGGGAGATTATAGATTCTAAAACATGTGAAAATTAAATGAGCTGAGACACGTACCGTATATATTGTAAAATAGCTAGCTCGAGAAAGAGGTGTTTTGGGAAGTTAAAAAACAAGTTTATATATATGTATGCTACTCATAATACATAGACATACTTAGGGCCTGTTCTCATAAACTGAACTCAGTTGAACTGAACTGAATTGAGCTGAACTGAACTGAACTGAGCTGAGCTGAACTGAATATTTTATAAGAGAAGAAAATTAGGAGCTGAGCTGAACTGAACTGAACAGAACAGAACAGAACTGAGCTGAACTGAACTGAATTTCAACGTAAAAGAACAGACCCTTATTCCCTGCAAAGTTGCATTTAAAATTTTGTTTTTCGTGCTCACTTAACACTCTCTTAAATTGTCCATTTGGAGAAAGCTTAACAAAAATCTATAAGTAACTTTTACTTTACACTTCATTCTTTCCATTTCCTCTTGTTTTTGTGATGTCAAAATCAAAACACCTCTATTTAAAGGTTCTCAATCTTTTGCTTAGCTTGATTTAAATATCAAATGACTTTCAATGTGTGCAAATTAAAAATTAAAGGATTTGAATCAAACATCGTTTGTACAATTGTAACACCATTAGTCATGAATATTAGGTGAAATAACTTTGTTACACTTAAATATCTACAATATAAATGAGATCATTATGTGGGAAGTATATACTTGTTGGATACGGAGTACTCCGTATATAGTACTTATAATGCTATATACTTGAAAATTGAAATTAAATCTCGTTATAATAAGTAACTAAATAAGCTTAATTTGATTTCCATCACTCCATAGGGTACAATGATCTCTTAATATACTTCTTTTTTGTCCTTGTTTGAATCAGAACGCACTACTTAATATTGAATTGGCAATTTTTTTTTAATTTTTTTTAAAAGAAATATATACCTTATAGAATGTAACAGAAGGTATATTAGCAGGAATGAAGTTAAAGAGGGAATCTGTTTAGTATATTCTGCGCCAAGTTGAGGATATTATAATTTGATTGTAGAAAGGCAAAAGGCTGAATGTTAGGATCCCATAACCAGTTGCAACTGTCACTCATTGAAATGAGCCTTTTATGTTCTTTTTCCCTGCTTAAAATTTTAAAGGACTATTTAATACTTCCTCCGTTTCTATTTAGTTGACGCGTTTGATTTAGGCGCATATATTAAGAAGAGAAGAGAGAGTGAGAGATAGAGAATGAAAAAGTAAGTGGTAGTTTGTAAATGCAAGGTAAAAAAATTACCCCAAAAGGAAACGTGTCAACTTAAAAAAAAAAAAAAAAAAAGCTTCCTAAAAAGGAATACGTGTCAACTTAAAAGAAACGGAGGTAGTATTTTCAGGTGTTAGAGTTCAAGACTTATCAATGAAAGTTAAAACGACAATTCATTTAATTACATGGGATTAGAGATGTCAAAGATGTTCGGGGATTTTGAATTTAACAAGGGTCACAAAGAAGACAAACAAAATTAACGTAAAATTCTTCAGGCGTGAACGGGATTACTTTCTCAAAAATATAATTTTGACCCTATACTACAACTAGGTATCACGGAAAATTACTCAGGAGATACAGTGAAAAACAATTACAATCACAAATAAGATGATTACAATACAATATAGATAAGCTTTTGTGATTTGTGATGATGAACAATAACTTGCAAAAGGTTCCAAGAGAATGAGAATAAAACTGATTTCTTGAAGTTATACCATCAATATGAACTCTCATATTTATATCAAGAGCAATAAACTAAGCATAACTAAAGAATAACCGTCAATATTACCTCACGTGCCCTACCAGGCGAGAGAAATCAAGAAACCCAGAAAAATTTAGGTGCTCTCGCGTCCTACCGGGCGGTGGCTCTCGTTCTGCCGGGCGGTGGCTCTCGTTCTGCCGGGCGATGATGGCCTGCCAGGCGGTGACAATGCTTAATTTTCCTTTGCTCTCGCGCCCTACCTGGCGGTGGCGCGCCCTGCCGGGCGGAGGAACATTTCTCTTAACTAAGATACAAATTGCTCTTTTACTTGTTCAATTAAATTTCAACACCTTAACCTAAGATATTCAATCAAACACATGAATAGCTCTCCCACCTTTCTTGATGGGCATTGTGTCACCATTACTCTAAATAATTCAACAATAGACTCGCATTCGGATCAACTCGTTCTCAATGACATGGTCTGAATTGATCTGACTTGAAAATAATAACTTTAATTCGATTTAATATTTGACTCTAACACCAAATTTAACTTTGACACAACCTAAGATTGACCAAACCTATAGCTTGGTTTTATCCGACCCTCTATTAACTCGAACTTTCATTAACCTGACCGAAACTAGGATAAAAACAGATATCGACCAATCTTTTTTTTTCTTTTAATGAAACCTGAAAGAAGTGAAACTAAAATTAACCTAATGAGATAGATTTATTTTATTAACTATGATAATGAAATAATGTTGAAGAAAATTAATATTAAAAAAATTATTTTTGTTGATATTAGTTTTAATTATGGTTTGACAACATATTGATACAAACTTAGGGCATGTTCATTTAGTGAACTGAGATAAACTAAACTAAACTGAGTTGAAATGAATATTTTAAGAGAGAAGGAAATTAAGAGCTGAACTGAACCGAATATAGCTGAAATGAGAATTTAATGAGAGAAGGAAATTATGAGCTAAACTAAATTGATTGGAGCTGAACTGAATTGAAATTAAGCTAAAGTGAACAGGCCCTTGTGAAGTTATGATAATGTGATGAATAACCTTTAAAAAAAAAAAAAAAAGTGATGAATAAATTAATTAATTTTTAAAAAGATTAAGTAATGAATTTTACGCATAATTATTATTAATGACTCGGGACATAATCCAAATCTAAAATGCTAGTTATACCCTGAATAATCGACTATGCCGTGGAGTATTGTTTTGGATGAAACATAACTCATTTTGGTGTCTTAACTTTCCACTTAACTATTGGGATACATGAACACCATGTTACTTAATTTGGTTAAAATTTATGTGGAGCAAAAACCTAATTTAACAAAACAGCCCATAGATTGGAGAATCTCCATTTACTTTTTGATCTTACAAGAAAACGTGGCAAATTGAACAAGAGGCAAAAACTAGTTAACTTTGGTCAGTAATTACGAATTAAAAAAATAATTAGTGGGTTAATCCCAATAGTAGAAAGCTGAAAATTCTATTCCATGCCAGTAAGATAAGCAGTGCTTATATTAGTACATCTTCGGTGTAATGATATTTATGTACTGTGACACAAGAGTAGGTTAAATTCATTGGATCGATCAATTACCAATAAGAATCTTAGGGTTATCAATCAATCATATTATATAATTAATATATAAAGCTAAACTTTTAGCCAGCTCACGAAATAGTGATACTTGACATTCTAACTTTTTTTAAGTGTCGCCCACTTTAAATAGATTTAAATAGACTTCATAAGATAAAAATCACCAAAATGTCGCGCCATTTGGATAGATTTAGATAGACTTCATAAGATTAAAAAAAAAAAACCGTTTGTTAAAAATTTCATTTTCAATCAAATTAGGATAGAATTTTAGAATAAGATAGTTAGTTTAGAGTTTTATTTTCGATAAAATACCAAATAATAAACTTAAGGCCACAAGACAATGTCATTTAGCGTTTTAACTTTTCACCAAATGTCGTACCACGTTGGATTAATATAGATAGACTTTGTAGCAAAAAAATTAATATAGAATTCTATTCTCAATCAAATTGAATTATAATATAATTTTATCAAGTCCATAAACAACCCGGGCATCGCAAGGGGCACAAAACTAGGAAATAATATATAAAGTTAAACTTTTAGCCTGACGACGAGGCAGCAACACTTGGCGTTTCAACTTTTCGCCAAGTGTTGTGCCACATAGAATAGAGTTATATAGAATTCAATTTGTAGGATAAAAAAGTTAGTTTAGAATTTTATTTTCAATCAAATTTGAATAAAATTTTAGGATAAAATTGTTAATTTAGAGTATTATTTTTTGATAAAATACCAATATTTCATATACCAATATTAGATTATAACTCTCACAAATTATCATATAAATTTATTTTTTGTATCATAATATTTTTTTGGAGCGAAAGAATTAGTTCAAAATGTACCACATCCATTGTTTATAATATATTCTAATCTATTAAAATAATATACTTCGCAATCTAATATAATTTTATTACTATGTGTAGACTTGTCAATCAGGTCGGGTCACCATTCATTTCAGACAGGGTCGTTATTTCAGGTTACGGGTCAAGAAATATTTTTCACCAATATTATTATTATTAGTCATTACATGTCTACAAGTTTAAATCGTCACAAAAACATATCAATTCCTAACTAATTTTGTATTAATGATATGTTTTAAAATTTGACATACATATTTAAAATATATCTTAAAATTCATTAAACAACTCGGGCATCGCACGGGCACAAAACTAGTCAATCAATAACTATATATTAAAAAAAAAACACCAGTAATGACACATGTCATCTCCTGGTGTGTTCTTAGTTTGTTTTGTTTTTTTTTTTTTTTGAAAAGAATTATTTAAGAATCAAATCATTTACATATATAAAGTATAATAGAAGGTTTGAAGTGTCTTTCTAAAAAAAATATTGACAACTATGACTTAAATTAAGCAAAAAATAAAATAAAAAAATATTCTTATCATATTTGTGACATATGGAGTATTTGATTTAGGAAAGACACACATTATATATGTACGTATTATATATGTATGTATTATGTATGTTGTAGGTAGTACGCACTACGTTTATTACAAAAAGATTATATAA